GTCCTCACGCTTCTTGGAGCCCCTCTCCTGTGCCCTCTACTTGGGGCAGGGGATTCTGTCTCCCTCCCTCACTGCCACACCCCCAGCGCCTAGAACGGTGTCTGCACCATAGTGAGTGCTCAGTACATTTTTGTGGGCTGAGTGGTTGAATGTTCGTTTTGACCCAGACACAACCACCCAGCTGCCAACACCTTGTGAAAAGGAAGGCGAGGTGCTTGCTCTTCTCTGGCTTAATAACAGTCTACAGGAACTGTTGTCTTTTATATGCCTGCTTAGCTCATTGTGAAGGCCCAATAAATATTAATTGATGGACAAGAAGCTCTAGGGTTTGGCTTCAGCCAGATCCAAGTACTGTTTTTTTGAGGAAGTCTATAAGAGCAGGGGAATGTAGGGTGTTTTGTTGTGAGTCTGGAGACAGGACCCCGGTCCTCCTTCTCCCTTACCTAAAGCCTGGGAGAGGTGGGTGGGGACGGTGGGGAAGCGCCTAATTATATTCGTGGGTTATGTAATAATTACACTTTCAGGTTCCCACTGGTGGTGGGTTTTAAAGAAGCTTTGAGTAATTTCAATTTTGAAATGCTTTGTTTTACCCATCCCTTGCTCATCATCCTTGATCTTTCCCTGGTGCCCTCCAGTGGGAATTATCTGGAGATCAGCAGATACTAAGTTCCCTCATTGGGCCCACCGATGGACTTGGTCTCTGCACCCAGCAACACGGAGATCTGGAGAGACTCACTTGCCAGTGGTCTCATGGTGGGACTCAAATACCCTGACTCAAGCCCATGCTCCTCTCTCTGTTCAAGTCCCTTTCACTGTCTGACCTCCTGAGCTACTAAAAGAGTGCTTCTCCCAGTCTTGTCCGCAGCAGCCTCAGCAACACCTGGGAACTTGCTAGAAAGGCAAATTCATGGGTCCCACCCCAGAACTCCCAGAAACTCTAGGGTGGGGCCCAGCAATCTGTCTTTTAACAAGCCCTCCAGGGGATTCTGATGCATGGTAATGTTTGGAAATCACTGCTCTAGATTCTAGAGTCTAGAACAACGATTCCCAGGCCAGGCGACCGTGTTATAATAATCAGCTGCCTGGTGGCCACCCCAGACCTACTATACCAGAATCCTCAGGAGTGTGGTCCAAGCATCAGATTATTGTTTAGTTCTTTTAAGGGGTTCTAGTGATGCACCGTCATGACTGGGAGCCTCTGCACCAGACTAACACCCTTTGCACTGGACATAAATCCTATTCCCATGAGCGAAACACTACAGAGGAGGTGGTGGTAGGAACAAAGGTGTGGGCCTTCCAGATCCTGCCCAAGAACATAACCAACTCCTGCACACTGATCACATTGCGCCCCAGGGCCTGACTGCAGCCAACGAGGCCACCTGCGAATATGTAGAAGCTGGGATTCAGGGACCTGTGTTCAGGGACGGCATCAGGGCACGGTTTCATGAGGAACTGAGATGATTCTTACGACATCTCAATTTGGGGAGAGAAGCCTGTTGGAATCTGTAGCTCCATGGGGGCAAAAGACCGACAGAGAGAGGGAGGGAGGGAGAGAGAGACAAGAGGTCAGCAGTCAGAACTTCAGCCCAATTTCTGCATCTCTTCCCCAAGGCTCCAGTCTGTGGGCCTCCTCCATCAGTGGGGAGTCTGCTTGAGATTATTTCTCCCTCTCCCTCTGCCCCTCCCCTTGCTTGTGCGCATGCTCTCTCTCTCTTTTTAAATTAGGAAAAAAAGGGATGGGGTTTCACTTTCCAAGATTAGGCTACCAAAAAACTGGGATTTCCATCTTGCTTGCTCTCTCATTCTCTCTGTATTAATCAGGGTTTGCTAGAGAAACAACCAGCATGACAGATGGATAGATGATAGATGAAGAGATTTTAAGGAATTAGTCCATGCAATTGCAGAGGCTCTGTGAGTTCAAAATCTGATGGAGGAGGCCAATAGGCTGAAGCCTCAGGGAAGAGATGCAGTTCAAATCTAAAGCCCATCTGCTAGCAGAACTTCTTCTTTCTCTGGGCATTTTGGTCTTTGCTCTGTTAAGGCCTTCCCATAATTGGATGAGGCCCACCTGCACCACAGAGTATAATCTGCTTGACTCAAAATCCACCCATTAAAATGTTAGTCTCACCCAATGAGCATCTTCACAAAAACATCCAGATTAATGTTTGACCAAATATCTGGGTGCCATGATAGGGCCAGGGTGACGCATCAAATTAGCCATCACATTTGCCCTCCCTT